CAAACTGGAGCAAAGGGATTGTTGTGATTTAGATGCTGGAGAAATAGGTGGGCCCAGATCATTACTAGTCATAATGTGATTTAATTAAAGGATTTTTTTGTTTGTTATGGGTGGTAACATGACTGTTCATAGACTTGGGAGCTAGACTGACTAGGGAATCTAATCCCAATCCCACAATTTAAGGGCTGTGTGATCCTGGACATTTTAATGTTAGTACTTCAGTTTTCTCATCTGTGAAAGGATAATAATAATACTCAAATCTTAGGATTTAGAGGATCTAAAGGATTAAATCAGGTAAGGCAAGATCAAGGTAAAGCAAGGTAGAAGACACTGTTCAGGCAAGGAATGCAAAGGCAATTGAAACACTAGATTTCCAAATTTGAGTTTGTGTAAGAATCATTTGGGGCTATTGGAAATTTAGATTCCTTAGGCTTCAGCTCTAGGAATCGAGATTTGGTGGGTCTGGGGCCCAAGAAACTGCTGCTTGCTTTTTTTTTAGGTTTACAAAATAGTTGCAAAGATGATTCAGCATTCCTATATATTCCTTCCTTACCCATTCCCCCCTAAGGTTAACATAGTATAGTACATTTGTCAAAACTAACAAGTCAACATTGGTTCATTACTTTCCAGACTTAATTAGGATTTCATCAGAATTTCCATCAGATTCAGGATTCTACATTCCATTTAGAGAAACTTTCATAGGCACTTGGAGGTGGTCTGGGGACATTCCTGAGAAACGCTAGATGTAAAGGACTAAGCAAAGTCAAATTGGCCCATCCCAACATGGGAGTTGAATGTAGTGTTTGTCTATTTCAGAGGGAGAGATAGAAACATCAATGAGAATCATTGATAGGCTGCCTCCTGCATGCCCCCTACTGGGGATCGAGCCCACAACAAGGCATGTGCCCTGACCAGGAATCCAACTGTGACTTCCTGGTTTATAGGTCAATGCTCAACCACTGAATCACGGCAGCCAGGTTGAATGCAGTTTTGAGGCAAAAGGGAATAAGTTGGTGCAGGATGTGGATATGTGGTTGATTTTAGAATTGAGGTGGAATCCCCTCGGTTAGACGAGGGGGTCACTTTAAGAAACAAAACTTGTATTGCTAATGCCACAGGAAATGCGTTTTGGAGTTTGGACTGTGGGATGCTGCCTAGACTAAGGAGATACATCTAGGGCTGTGGGCAGCTCAGGGGAGTCAGCAAGTGCAGTAAATTGGGGGGACAGCTGCTTTGGGGGACACAGGAGGGCTCAAGTAGGGGATTAAAAGGTCGAGATAACCTGCGAGCCATATGAGACTTGTATTTGCTGGAACCTGGTGATAATGCTTTGGAAGTGGGTCATAGGCGTAACCAACATCAAGTGCTGTCCAGCAGACATTAGCAGGAGGTCAGAGGGCAAGGCTGAGATGGCCTGGTTGAGGGTGAGCCCTAACCTGCAGTGGGAGGGGACAGGACATGGAAGCTCTGCCTTTGGGAGAGTCCATTCCAGTGAGGCGGCAAAGGGGCCACCGTTTGGGGCCTAAAAGTAAAGGTTAGTAGAAGGGAAGAGAGTAAGAGAAAGTAATGTATCAAGAAAATGCTAGCAGAATACTTTGGTCTTTAAATACTATTGGTAACTTCTGATGCTATCACAGAATTTCTCTAACCATTCAAATCACTTAAGCTCCCTTCACAACAGTTACAATAATCACCAAACTTGTTCCTTTTAAAAGTATTAACCTTTTTTTTATTTGACTCTGGATTCCTCTTAATTTCTAAATGATTTCACTTCCCTAGTTCTTTCTGCACCCTAGAGATCCTAAACCACAAACTGGTTTTCTCAGAATTTCACATGACCTGTTGTCTCTTCTGACACCCCATTTAAAACAGCCGAGTGGAATAGCCTCAGACACCAAACCAACTGCGCCTCTGCCCCGGGGAGCAGCTTTGCTGAAGGGCTCGATGATGCTTTGTGTTGCTTACTGGCACAGCGTCAGGCTGGTCAGGGCGGTGAGTGGGCTAAGTGAAGACTTTAGGTAACCTAATCCTTAGCTTGCTGATAGACGCTAGTATAATCTGCAGATTCTGCATTAAAATGAACACTTACCTGGAGATTTCTCTGCCCCTGTCAAGTGCTTTTCCAAGTAGCTCTGTACTCGAGAATGCAGCTTCTGGGAGAGGGAACAGGCTAGTCATTTTAGATGTGGTCAGGGAGAAGGCTTGGGTGATCAAAGATTTTAGCTAACCTACATGTCACAGCTAAACATTTCCAAAATCACTGCATAACCCAAATACAGAGTGATTTCTTTTCTGGAAAATACTGGCTTCAGCATTTTTTTTTTTTTTTAATCAAGGAATAGTGTATTTATAGACACAGGAAAACTCAACCAAAAATGAACCATCATGAGCTGTCATAAAACCAGGATTCAGTGCTGCTGGACTTCAGAAAAGTCTGGGCAAACGGGATATAATAAAAGTAAATAATCTGGAATCTGGTCCAGCATAGAAATTTCTCTTTAAACAGAAACATTGGGCCTTAAGTTGTTTTAGGATGAGCCATATGATATTGCTGATAGGAAACCATCATGTAATTCCTTTCTCTCTGGTATGTTTTACCTTCCAAGTATTGGCACAAAAATGAATTATTCACAGATGCCATCTAATGCACCATGCCAATGATTGTAAGTGTAATAAATTATCTTTAGGTTAAAAAAGCAAAAGACAAATAAATAACTGTATCTTAGAGGCAGGGTCAAACCATCAATGGTCAGTTAAAAATGCTTTAAGGACTATCAGAGCTGATGGAAACATGTACGTTCGACAGAGACATGATGCTATGTGAATGGAGAGAAGTATTACAAACATACTAGCCATGTTTTAATTAAAATAGGGTTTATTAGCTTTTCTTTTAATATAAACATGAGAAAAAAACCACATAAGTTGTAGCATTCTTTTCAAAATAAAATTGCAATCAATACTTGACTCTCCAAGCTCAGAACTTGAGGTGGTAGATTGTAACGTTTTATACGCCATTATTTCTCGTTTCTATCCTTTTAGTGATGGAACCTGCAGCCCTCAATATAGTGTGAAGCCTTGCTATACTAAAAGTATTCCTTGGCCTAGAAATGCTTTGGTTACAGGCAAAATTTCTAGGAATACATTTGAGAAGGTAGAAGTATTTCAAATAGTTGAGAACATTAATCTTTAAAAGTACTTCAAGTTTAGGCGACATTTTACCAATCTCCTAAAAGATTGATTATTTAACTCCCTGCCCTTTAAAGCCTGAGGTAAGAGTTCCTAAGGTTTGTATGCTTCCTCTTAAATAGCAAGACTTATATGGGACACCTACAACCAAGTCAACGTGTAGGATAGAAAAGCTGGTTCATTCACCTGTTTTCATAACCCTACTATTAGGGTCCAATTTCTTTCAATTCATTACATCTGAATAACACTACTCCTCAAAATCTTCCTTTACCAAAATTTAGGAAACAAAACAATGTTGGTGATCAAAGCATGTATACAGCACAGATCTGCAAAGCATTCTTTTTAAAGAGGGCACTCTTATGAAGACACGGTGTTAGTGCAGTTTTAAGCAGTGGCACTTGTAGTGGTATAAATGCTACAGCCTTACAACACATTTGAAAGTTTAAAAGTCTCTTAAACTGAGTTTTGTATATTTTAAATATTAAGCTTTTGTTTCAATTTTTTGTTTCAATCCCCTCTTAAAGATGGCAAAGATAGGCTGAACCAAAAAATTAAAATTTAAATAAACTTTTTGGTTTCAGCCAATCTTTGTCATTTCACAATTTGCTAAACTAAACAAACAGGATATTGTAAAAATCTTTTTTCCTCTATTTTTTCCCTTTGTCTACAATGTGGACATTTAATCTGCAGCTTAGGTAGTTTTATGGGATTTTTTGAGAATAGTTATTAAGGAGCGTAGAGCAGAAATACAGAATACACACCTCTGCTGATTTTATGGAATAGCCATAACAACTCTTGTCTTCCTGCTTCCTATATTTTTTATATAAAAATGAAAACAAACTTATTGTTGAAAAACAAAAAACTAAATGAGAGACTTAATTAAACTTTCAAATTAAAGTCTGTAGCATTTATACTTCTGTAGGAGTGCCCCACCACACTGTTATCCAAGCTTAGAATTGCACCCGGGGAATACCTATTTCATTATCTGCTCATTATCACTGGACCACTGTGTTGGTTGGAATTATGAGAATATCTTTTGATACATCTATTTAACAAAGAAAATCATCAGAAAATGAGGACATCATTATACTTGTTGTTTTAAAATCCCATTTTAGTTCTTAAGATATGCAGGGTGGACCCAGTCTAAGGAGATAATCAATACTGACAATTTCCCAAACATGCTACTGTACTAATAAGTAGAACTTGCAAAGAATCTGAATGAGAAGTGTTATTCAGCAGGTTTTTTTTAAACTGTTTGCCAATAATGACTAGCAACTTCCACCATGTAATATGAAGAATCCTTTAATACCTAACAATGCTACAGTCTGTTCCTAAGTGGCTTTGTGAGTTGTTAGGCATCCCATGTTTTAATGGTAATACTGCATTGATTGTGAAGGAATATGTAGCAATATTGGGAAAGTTTATTTCTTTTTTTTGGAGGGGTGATTCAGAAATATAGAAAAGACATAAGTTATATGGTTAGTGCTTTTCAAGCCTCAACATTTAAATTTGAATTAAAAAAAAAAAAAAATTCACCTAGTTGACAGCTATCAGCCTACATTGTAAGCAGATACCTGTGTGGGTTGGGAGCTTTGCTTTTAAGTGATTTCTGTAACTGAAGGACAGAGTGTGTCACATTGACAAGGTCCCATTCTTTATGAGCATAGTCCTTGCTGCCCACGAGTCTCTTCAAGTTGACGTCTGTCTGAGGTGAAAATACTAACTTTGCTGGTTTTTGAGCAGGAGAGGTGATATTTCTCCAGTCCTTGTAAGATGAGGGGCGGCTTACGATATTACCACCCCTCTCTTCTCCCTTAAGAGAGGATGGCTTTAGAACGCTGAACACCAATAAAATTATCAGCACTAAGAGACCTTCTCAGAGCAGCTCTGCACAGGTCTTTGTCTTCACACAATCTGGAAATGGCCTAGGAAAGGCAATCAAATAGAACACAAGTACAGTTAAAAAACAAACAAACAAAAAACAAGAGTTCCAACCTTCACAAAAAGCATCACTGATAAGCCACACATTCTCACTCCTTTCTAAATTGATCGTTACTGCTGCTTTCGGCAGCTGAGGTCTACACTGCCAGGTTATGAGGATGTACTTCCTGCTAATTCAAGAAGGTGGTAAGTCTTTTAGGGGCAATGATAGATTGAGCAAAGGGGAACTTAAGAGTCATTAAAAAATTTGGTTCCCAAAAAAGTCAAGAACATATTAGGCTCCTAACAGCAATATCATCTATTGCCTGTACACTTGTTTCTTAAACATTAAGAGCATACACTTGGGCAAATTGGTACTTGCTCAGCTATTCAATTTCTATCCAATCTTCATTAGCTATAATATACTCTAAGCAAACTTTAAGGAGGCAAGCGTGTGCTATATTTTATAAGAAGGTAGGGAAGGTCTAATGACTGAAGCACCATAAGGAACTATGTCACTTGCACATTAATTATAGTAGAAAAACATCTTTTTCTAAAGTACCTCCCAGGTACCACCATTTCAAAAGAGTCCATTTCAGTTGTGAATAATTTTGTTGTATACTAACCAAAAGTCATAAGCTATAAATATTACTTTGCAACCATGTAATTTACCATTTCCATTAAAAACCCATGTACTTTCTACACCCAATATTTGAAACACACATTATACATTGTAAGTATATGTCTCCCAGGTTAGCCACTAGTACTAATAAACTCATGGGACTGAACCATGATATATATATATATGAATGACATGAATTTTCAAACTGAATTAACCTTATAAGGAAGGGTAGAAATTCAAATGGAAAACTAACAGATTAAATGTGATTTAAAACATTCTGAATTATGGTCACAGAAGAGATCTATAATTTTTTTTAATGTGAGAGTCTTGTAGAAACCATAAGATATATGATGTGAAAGGGTTAATAAGCTCTTCTTCAATTTGTTAACTTAAAAAAGCTTTTCATTTTCCTAATCACTGCTTAATATGATTTATCTACAGATAGCTTTGGTAACTGACAGAAACCCCACTTAGTGATTCCACAGCCTTACCTCTAGGTTTTGGGCTCTTTCTCTGCTAAGAGGGGCAAATACAAAAGGCAGGTCGTTGTCATCAGCTAAGGAGCGGAGGTCAAAGTAGTATTTGGCATAAACACTGGCAGGAACATTAATATTAAACTGAAGTAGCTCTAAAAAATGCCTTTCCATCTCATTCCTGTGGGGGAGGAGGAGACAAAACCAACACAGGACAATTTTAGTCAATTGGACTACTATCTTCAAAAATATCATTATGAGCTACTAGGATGGCTCGAAATTCTGTTTTGACACAAGTAAAGGCTACATGCTGTATTAATACACTAATGTTCAAACAAGGTACAGCTGTCTGTGGTCTTTCCGGCACCCCAGCATTCTGGGTTTGGGACAAGCGGGAAGAGGTGATGGTGCTCTGTGCACTTGTGCTGCTGACTCGGGGCTCATTCTTCAGAGTTCCATTAGTTCAGCTGTACGCCTCCTGCTCCCCGCTCCCTCGCCAGGCCCCACTATAGTGCTCAGATGAAAGGAATGATGTACGCTGTTTATTAGCTCTGAAGAACTTGCAGACATTTTCACCAGGCCGATAACAGGAAGGGACTTATTGAAGTAGAGAGGCGCCAACAAAAGGAGTGGGCACATCACCACGGCAACAAATGGATGCATCGAGAGCCACAGCTATTATCCCTGAGGGGGAAAACTCTTGAAGCAGCAAGAATTCATCTCAAGTAAATAAATAAATAAAATAAGCCACATTCGATAGGAAAGCCTCCCCATACCCCAGTGTGTGGGGCTAATGTCAGAGGGCATAATTCAAGTTTGTGTTCACCTTCATCTTATGGGTGAGCAACTGCCACTATGACAGGTCAGGATGCACTTTTTAAACTGGATGGCAGAAAGATGACTGATAGATGTCTCGGCTGGACTAAACCACTCTGCGATATGAACCCTGACAGAGCACTGGACTCCAACTCCAACCTGTTTCTCCCACGCTGGGAATGCTCAGCACCCAGCACCCTCGCCAGACAGATGGGAACACAGGGGTGAGCTCAATCAAGTGTGGAAGGAAGCTGGGAGCAGTCCTGTGCTATGTGACCATACTGCCATCCCCTGCCAAGTGTTTAAATATAAAATTAGAGCAAGTAATACTACTACAGAAATCCCTTGATAGAGTTAAATATATAAAAATAAATGAGACTTATTTTTTAATATATTTTTTTTTTAAAGCTTTAATAGTTTATCCATTGGACAGGTCAATGAAGGCTTGATGTTCTCCTGTATGGAGAGCAGTCAGAATATGGGCAGAGATGAGGTTTTTCTATTTGGTGAACTTTCAACCTGACTGAACCTAATTCCAAAATTAATTTTCTATTCATATAGCCATAAGCCTATAGAAATGTAAATCAGATAATGTTTTGATAATCAGATAATCAGGACTTAATTTACTACAGGAATAAATGCACTTCAGTATCCCTTTTATATTTTCTCCACTAATACCTTTTAATTGTGTTGAAATACAGTACTTCATAGGATTAAAATGTCTATTAATAGAGGTTTAATGATGGAAGAAAAGCATTATGCCTACAGAATATGCAACTTCTGATGGTTTTTTTGTTGTCTTTTCAATGGCTAGATGGTTGAATAGCACACCATTTACAGCAAATTTTCTGAATAGCAGCTGCTCAGTTTAACTTATTCTTTTGAAGGGAAATATATTTTTAAAACGACACATAGATGTTGGAAAATTTAAGAAAAAGCAGAGACACCAATTTTTCAATTTAGACTCAAAATAAGATCATTACAAATAGTAGTCAACAGCAGGGGGATGAAACCAGTGTATACTAAACACTGTTGTAATTAATGCCTTCCTTTTTCAAAGATCATAAACAAAAGCAGCCTGTTATAAACATAGCTCCTCGTGTTTCTGTTCATATACAAAAAGCATTGTTTACTACTAGTCATCGGGTAGCTAGACACTGCCACCATCGCCTCTGCGGCTCGCGTCTCTGAAAACCCACACACTGCCTTGTGCGTTCTGAGGTTATAACTAGAGCCAGAGCCCCAGCCAGCTGTGGTACAGCTTTTGAGACTAGTTCAGCTGTCATCATCATTGCAGAGCTGGTGTTCATGATCACAAATTCTCCATCCTTCAAGGGGCCAGTTTGAAGACTCATGACAATGATGATCGAAGTCACTTGAGCTTCTGCAACTTCTTAAAGTATTTCCATTTGTTTCAAATTCAAATTGTTTGCCACTATTTGCTAAGAAGGCTACCAGCAATATCACCAAAACTACTAAGTGTACACTATTATCAAAGTGGGCATTTACCCCAAAAGTCACTTTGACAGATACTGACAACCACTGGGGTCCCTGCTCTTGGTCACAAGTATCCTCACTTCAGTTGTAAAAAGAACTCTGGTGATTCTGAATGAGTCCTATCTGGAGTAATAAGCAAAAGCAACAAAAACAAACACTTGCCTCTGCCTGCTACAATCTTGCTCTTCTTATGCTGTTCAATATCATTAAGAAGAGTTCTTTCACATTTTCCTAAATGCCACCCACAAAGAAAGACATTTTCACTGTCAGGTGGGCAGCTGGCAGTCTGCTGGAAGTATGTCTTTGGCGCATCCTGCCTACCAACCTCAGGGCCCTTCAATGTGGCCAGATCAGATGCCCATGGTAAGTTTAGTGTTTCACTCTCATGCTAGCATGCCATCTCTGAGGAGCACGCCCTCAGGGTTACCTACAGCCCCCCACAATGCACTGCTGTGGTTGCTGAGTGCCGCAGAAAACTTTCAAATGGCATGGGCACTAGGTGGTGCCCAGGGATGCTTTGCCAACTGACTGAGAGGTAGGAGTTTCCTAACTCATCAGACCTATTTTTAAACACTTGCCATCCTCTTAAAAGGGCAGGCAAGAGCACAGGGATGAAGCCTTTATATACAGCTAATTTTCCACAGTTTAACAACTGATCTTCAGATAAAAGGAGGCAAAGACCAGTTAAAGCAAATATAGAGTGTGACTCGGGTTTAAGCCATCACCTCTCAATAGTCTAGTGGCCATAAGGCATTAACAGTGGCCAAGCATTTTTTTCAACGGTCAGATGTATACCCCTTAAAAATGGACTGGATCTAGCCGAAACCGGTTTGGCTCAGTGGGTAGAGTATCGGCCTATGGACTGAAAGGTCCCAGGTTCGATTCTGTCAAGGCATGTACCTTGGTTGCAGGCACATCCCAAGTGCGGGGTACGCAGGAGGCAGCTGATCAATGCTTCTCTCTCATCGATGTCTCTCTCATCGATGTTTCTAACGTTCTATCCCTCTCCCTTCGTCTCTGTGAAAAATCAATAAAAAATATATTTTTTTAAATGGACTGGATCTAATAGGTGGCTTTAAGAAAGTGATTTACTATACTGTTGTTCTGGTAGTGAGCTTGTAGAATGTTTGTCAAAAACCACTAGAGACATAATTATCAAACAGACTGGAGGCCTGGTGAACGAAATTCATGCACTGGTAGGGTCTGTAGGCATGGCCAGCGATCAGGGCCAGCCAGGGCCTCCCTTCCCCGGCTGCTGGCCTGGGCCTTCCTTAATTCCACGCTGCTTCCTGTGGTTAGTGCATGCAAAGTGAGTGACAAACTCCTGGTCTCCCAGAACTCCTGAGGGGATACTTTGCATATATATATTACTACAATAGCACAGGAATATGAATTATTATACCAAAGGTATAGACAGAAAAAAGTATATAATTTTATGCCTCTTTCAGTTCTCTGCACAAAGTAACCTTTACAAATAATTCTTAACATATAAACTTTATGGGAGCAAATGAGATACTGAAAACTGGTTAGAAAATTCACCAAAACCTGACGAACTCACATGTCCTCAACGGTAATGTCCTTGAGGATCTGGCAGTAGTCCACATTCCACACAGCCTGGTCATCCCAAACCTTGGAGGCAAGAAGAACGGCTCCCAAAACAATTCTCTTCCAGTTCGTGGGACAAATGTCAATCTCAGCGTAAGTTAAAAGTCTTTCTAAGTAAACCTGCAAACGTAGAGCACTGTCTTTCATTTCCGATCAGTGTAAGTGGTGTGACAACAAGTCTTAGAATGACAGATTTCATCTATTTTTTAACATGTCTTTTATTCTTAGGTTCTACAGAAGCTGTTTGGCCAGCCAAAGCTAGAAGCCAAGTCACAGTTGCAAATCAGATACTTCTGTTGCTTACTTTGCCTATGTGAATTTCCAGCTCAATTTTTGGTCACAGGAATAAATGTACATCTTAGCAATAGTCATCCTGAAGAAATGCAGCGTGTATTACTTCTCTACTTGTGAAGGACAGCACATATAGGCCCAGTATAGTTTCAAGTTGTCCAATAAATACTGGAGTGTCTACCACATACAATGTTTCTTACCTGCTGGGAGTTATATGGTGATTTTAAAAATACTTGAATACGTGAATTCCTAATAATACTGAGCACATTTAGATCTTTTCACAGGAACTAGTCCTTTTGTGACACAAGCTGAAAATAAAAACTGGGTCAATGGAGCCTCCCAGTGGCTGCTGTGTGGTGCAGCAGGACAGGCGGTACAAGCAGGTGTGCTTAAGGCTGGAATGTACAAATGTCAGATCTTCCCATTTTAGTGCCCTTTATAAGGAACACACATGCATATAAAGACAGTCCTTTTATCCCCCAGTGCTCACATCTCCAAGATCATTTTGTGAAATTCATCTCTGTCTTACATAATCAGAAACTTAGCGTCAATTCTGTTGGATTCCAGGTGGTAGCAGAGCTGCCAACCTCTGTATCCCTGGTACTCCTAAACCTGCCAGGTCGCTTATTTCTTTTACATTCATTATATGTCTATTCTACAAAGAACTCAGAGAAATTAACAGCTAAGTAAAGATTATAGAGGTAAGCTGTGATTTGTTGTTACCTCAAAGGTTGCTCTGCAGAAGAGTATATATGCTATTTGACAAAAAGAAAAAAGTCCAATTTTAAAGAATATGTTTACTGTCTGAAAGTTATCAGACTGAGAGCTCAGATTTTCCAATGTTCTCCAAACTCAACTGTGTTTTCAAAAACAAATGGTTACTGAACTATGTTCTTAGTGAAATTCTGTACTTATTCCCCAAAACTCAGCACTCTAAGAACGAATCTCCTTGCAAGGTCCAATGCTGCTTTATAGAAAGCATCAGAAGCACTTCCACAATACTGGCATTCTCTCAACTTCCTGTCATCTTTACTGGCAGACTTGGAAGTGCCATTATTCATTCATTCACAAACTTGCCCTCCCGTGTCAGTGGAAGTAGACATTTCCCTTCTCACTGAGACTAACTCTTATCAGTGAAATCCACCTCATCCCACGTCTGCAGAACACTGTTCCCACAATGACCTTTTTGAAGAATCCTCTGCTAATGTTTTCTCTGCATTTGGACAGCTACTCTCAATTCCCTACTTATAGCGCAGATTCATGCTCTAATTCCATATATTCAAATGATCACTACACACTGCCACCCCGCTGTCTCACAGGTGCATCTAGCTTAACGTGTCTAAAAAGAACTCCCTCCTCTTCTAGCCCAGATGCTCTCCTTCCTGGATTACCTAGCTCTCTACGGAAGCACCGCTCCTGCCATTCTCCAGCACGTGCTATGCACTCCAAACAGTTGATAGCTCCATGAAGAGGCATATGTCTGACCCAGCGCCTCACTAACATTTTAACAGGGCACAAAAGAAGAGGCCTTGACCTACGTATTCTTTCCTTCCAGACCATGATGTTGACTTTTCCCTTTAGGTTTGCCGTAGGAAGGGGTAATATAATTCTAACCACTTCTCAGTAGAATAGAACTTATTCCAAATGATAAAATCTTACCATAGGAATTCTGTATCGATGACACCCAGGTCCTCACACAGCTGTAGCTTAGCAGGCAACTAGCAAAGCCTTTTCAGGTACTACTGGCACTATAGTCCTGGGTGACTTCAAAGGCAGGCACAAGAGGACAGCAGGGATAGGTTAACACCCATCATCCAAGGAACAGAGAATTTAAAGCTACAGGTTTCAAGCAGGACATATTAGAACTGCCTGGGTCATACAACCTGGGCTCAGCTTAGACCTACACCGATTCATAAGTTACAGCTTGGGGACCAGATGGTTTGTATTGCCCCATCCTACCCACCAGCACACCTTGTATGTGTGCAAGTGTGTGCACTGCACTTGTGTGTCTCCTGAGGTGTGGAGGGGGGATGTAAATTTCTCCTGCTGTTTTTAATAGGAATTTTTTTAGATGAGAAAAGCAATGGCAACGTTTTAAATCATGACTATTTAGCTTGAATGTGTGTATTTTACTTCCTTTGATAGGTTTCTCTTAATAAAGTCTTGTTGATCATTTCAAGAACCTACTTTTATTTTAAAAACAGAACCACACCCTGTGTACAAAAGAGATTAAAAAATGCTTTCTGAAAAAAAAAACTCTCTTACCAAAGTCACTATAGCACATTCAGCTGTTAGCTGTGCAGCACTGAAAAGAGTCCGAACAAATCTGTAAATAAATTTGTGTTCAGGATCATGCCTAAAATATTCTTCTGGAACTGTTTCTCTCTGAAAGGAGAAAAAAATGCAATATAAGTATCCAGGGAAGAAAAATACCTAAATCCTCTTATGATAGCAGTCTTCTACTTGTGCCCACATGTCCCTTAAAATAACATTTTTATTGGGTGACATGTCTTCTTATTTTTTAAAATATATATATTTTTTATTTCTCAGAGAGAGGGATAGAGAGAGATAGAAACATCAATGAGGAGAGAGAATCACTGATTGGTTGCCTACTGTATACCCCCAACTGGGGATCAAGCCTACAACCCAGGCATGTACCCTTGATCAGACTTGAACCCAGGACCCTTCAGTTCTCAGGCCAACACTCTATTAAATTAAGCCAAACCAACTAAGGCATGCCATCTTTTAGTAATTTAAATATAAACAATTGGATCTTAAAAAATAATAGTGATTCAATACTGACTACCACCATTCATTAAAGGAAAATATAGGCACAACCTCGAATAATTTGTGTTCCTTCTACCTTCCTGCTACAGAATTTTATTTAAATATAAGCTATTTTTAGGTTCAAAAGTCTTGATCACTATGTCATGCTTCTCTGCAATCAACTCTGAAAATAATTTTGTTTCCTGTAACCACCAGGTCTAAGGTTATACTGCCTTATACAGTTGTCACCAGCCGCATACTGCTATAGAGCATCTGAAGTAGTGAAATTGAAAGCATTTGTTTTAATTAACTTAAGATTTAAATAGTTATTTAATTTTCTTCATAGAGATGTTAAAATCTCTATTAAGTTTATTTACAAATATATTATTTGATGCTACTGAAAATTATCTTTTACAAAGATAAACTTTGGGTGTTTTTTATTCATTTACTTATCTTAGCTCACTAATTATACAAAGCTGCAACTCAGTACTTGCTGACATATCCCTTATAAAACACTTCTTTTGTAAAATAATTAGATACATGGGATGGGGAAAAGGATTTAAAAGATGACTTTGACTTCAACCTGGGAGTAATTTTCGTTTAGTAATTAATTTCAAAGCAAATTGGTATGAAATAAACACAGCTGTATGAAAGAAAAATATAACTTCAATATAAAACTGACTTACTGTGAGTGGATGTGATCTCTCATCGAAAATATCCAAGGATCTATTTGCATCTCTAAAAAATAAGAATGTATTTTTTTAAAAAACTAATTCAGAAATTGATAATATCTTAGCAACACAACTGCTGGGAGTAGAGATGGGTAGAGGGAGAAGCTTAACCTTCGATAAAAGCAGTTTTACAAATTCTCCTCTGGGATTCGGGAAGAGGATTTCCTGATCTCTTTACTCAGCATATCAAATTCCGTGGGAACATTTCTATGATGGCCAGCTGGAGTTGTCTTAATAAGCACTGACCCTCCCTAACGGCAATGTTAGTGAACTAAACACATTTGCACTCTTCTGACTTCACAATGGAACACATATGGACATTTTATAAAGCGGTAATAGTAGACAATAATGTCCTTCAAATTTTAATTCATGTGAATATGAGATTCATGTTATTCCATTTCTTTTCCTCTCATTAGTTTCTTTTATTATACTAGAGACCTGGTGCATGGATTCATGCACCAATGGGGTCCCCTCAGTCTGACCTGTGGGGATTGGGCAAAACCAGCTCTCTGACATCCCCCAAGGGGTCCTGAATTGCAAGAGGGTGCAGGCCAGGCCGAGGGACCCCACCAGTGCATGATGGGGGCCAGGGAGGAGCACGGGAGGGCTCCAGGGCATGTCCCTTCTGTCTCACCCAGTCCTAATCGGCTGGACCCCAGCAGCAAGCTAACCTACCAGTAGTAGCATTTGCTTCCTGGTGGTCAGAGCATGTCATGGCAACTGGTTGAACAAACAGTCAGACAATTAGCATATTAGGCTTTTATTATATAGGATTGTTATGTATTTCTTCTTGTCTCTTTTAAATAGTTTAAGTTAAAACTTGCCTTTTTATTTTAAAAGTGACTAGTCTTTTGATTTAAATGTTCACCACACCAATGCTCTGCTCATTTAAAGAGTGGTGCTCCAAGCATATTCTGTAGGCCTCTGGGGTTTCCCTATAACCTTTCCTCCTCAGGAAGCCCAGAAGGTCAAAACCATTTTTTTAGAAATATTAAGGCAGTGCCTGTCTTTTCCCTGAAATTTGCAATCTTCTATCTATAGACATAAAAGGCTAAGTGACCAGCCAGTAGCTATGTGTGCACTGACCACCAGGAAGCAGACGCGCAATGCAGAAGCTGCTGATGACAGCAACTTGGCAGAGCGCCCTCTTGCCCCCCAGGACCCCCCGGAGGATGTCAGGCTGCTGGTTCGGCCCAGTCCCTGCAGGCCAGGCCAAGGGACCCCACTGTTGGAGGGATCCTGCTCACTCTGCAGAGGAACCATGGAGGTTAGCTCCAGGGAGTGTCCAGCTATCTTGCCCAGTCCTGCCCTGCCAGCCACCTTTTGATTAATTTCCTTTCAATGTGCACGAATTCATGCACCAGGCCTTTAGTGATTGTATAAAAGCAAAAGTTAGTAAAACTGATTTCTGAGTATGAATCAAGGACGTAGAACCACACTATACTTAATAGTCATTCTATTCTTCACTGCCTCTTGGAGTTGAAAAAAAAAAAAACAACAAAAAACTGCTTTGCTTAAAACATCCTTGATAAAGAAGTAAAAATTGATAGTTATTAAACTTTGATCATTCTTCTTAAATTCTGAATAAATAGAAAGTATGCATGAAGCATTTCTGCATTATAAAATGTGGTTGTGTTAAGGAAAAGCACTTCTGACTTAGTTGTGAGCTAAAGAAGCCTTTTTTTATTTTTTATAGAATAACATCTTTATTTGATAGTACAACTGTCATTCTCTCAAAAACAAAAAATGAGCCTGGCACTTCAAGGAAAATAATTTGTATGTTTGTTGCCAATGACACAATTCAAGCACTTAAGCTAAAAGTCAGGATTTGGGAAAATAAGTACCTTCTTTTGTGAGCTTGACAGCTTTTCAATACTTAAGATTGGTGGTGATACTAACAAAATTGAGCTTTTGCCCTTTATAAAGAAATGTGAACCAATACTTTCCAAATGACCAACACATAATATTATAATAAAATCGTGTACAAATAAAACATTCATTAAACATACAAGATAGATCAATGGGTACTAATTTAACAAATTACCTACTATACATTTGTGGATATAATTTTAAATTCCATTGTAACTAATGGAATTAGTCCAGCACTTACGGACTTTTGGCATGGTATCAAAGAATATCCACAATTATTTGAAGGCTTTAGATATACACAATTTTGTAGCTATATAACTACAAGAGACTGGGTCTTCATGTTGGTTTTTCAAAACAAATGATTGAAGACAGAGCATACATGAAAATCACTGTCTTCTATTAAGCCAGACATTGAGATTTTCAAAAATGTAAATAAATGACACCCTTTCCAGTATTTTTTTGTTGCAAAAAATAATTATGTTAATACAATGGGGGACACTGGGTCATGGTTGGAGAGATTTTTCTGGTGTCACAATGTGGACTGAGGAGAGGCTGTTCTTGGCATCTATTGAGTAGAAGGCATAGAGCGGCCGGGATGTTGCTAAATATCCTCTTATGCACAAAAAGTATCTAATTCAAAACTTCAAGAGTGCTATAGAAATCCTGTTTTAACACACAATGGACTTATTTTTAAATTCTCAATTTTAATTTCTAATACAAACAAATACTCTTTGGGATCCACAATAATTTAACCCTTAAACAGTCCTGAGACAAAAACAAATGATTCACTCCAATAATGTAATGAAGCACTCTACAGTTCACTCCAATAATGTCTATAGTTGTTACCTAACACTAAACTTGAAAGCTTGTAAATTTACTGCTAGAATAATGAGACGGGTTTTTAAACTCACCTGTTCTTTATGTGGTAATATATTGCTAACGTCACACTGTGGAGGGAAGAAAATTTTAACAATTGATTTTAATATGTTAGGTATAAACACATTTTTAAAAAGGGGTTAGGGTGGGGGAAGACCTTCCCAGCTGCCCAGTGGCCTTGAAATCCTCATTCAGAACAGTATCATATGGGTACTTTTCCCTTTGTTTTAGTTCTTTGGTTCTTAGCAAAAATGGGAAAACCAAAATGCTAAGTAATATGCTGTTAGAAGACATGTTTGGGTTGATTATTATAATATATGTTATTACATATTACCCATCATTTGCCCTTTCACCCACAGAACCCTTCATTCTGTACAAGTTATATTTGTGCACATGCTTCAGTGCAAGCTATATAATAGTTTTTTGTCCTTTTTAAAGAAGGTTGTTAGGCTCTGCATTTCAGTTAATTTAGTTCACTATACCCCTCCCCACCCATTTCCATCATTTCTGTAAAGGAAAATAACATGCTCTAAGTCAAATAAAATCTAAGAGCAAATATAAGAACCCACAAAGTAAACAGTCTATCCTGAAATAAGCAGTGCTAACAATGCAGCATAATACTACAGTGTAACATTTAATAAGTTACTTGCAAGTTAGCCTAAATGAAATACTGAGATGTAAATCCTCAGATATAACATGTAAGTTGCTGTATTCCTAACTGAATAACTGTATGCTATTCAAAGATATTGAGTACCACACACCAAAGGGGTTTTCCTGGTTAAGTTATATGCTTCTCCTCTTTGTCCTCAAGTATCTAAAATGAAGCTCAAAATAATTGAGGGAAGGCAAATCTGAATTTTATAACTAGGTCGATATAATATTAGCACTTGTAAAAAAGGCCCATACCATTGTTAACATCAAAGATGGATACTTCTATAGTGCTTCGGTTTCATCTTCAAATTGATTTGGAAAAGCACAGATTTCAAAGTATAAAATTTCAAAGCTAAAAGTGACCACTGAACCTTAGATAACATTTAATTCAACAACCCATTTGACAGAAGGAAACCAAGGCTTACAACTGACTTGCTCACGGTCCCACAAATAACTAGAAGCAGTTCTTTCCCCTCCAGCTAACCAGCCAGAGGTTCCCAAGCTTAGCTGTACACTGGGATCATCTGAGGAGGCTTAAAAACTGCTGTTTCCACCTCTCGATGTTCTGATTTAAATGGCTGGGGATGCTTTTTAAAGCTCCCCGGTGATTGCAATCTGCATCAAAGTTTGGGAACATATAAATCAGGGTTAAGATCAGAATCATCCTGGATATTTTTGTTCATATAATCATGCCAAATACCCTACTGGTTACAGGGTGAAGGGGATGGGAGGAGGGGGAAGAGGGCCTAGAGGAGATAGTGATGGAAAAAATAAAATAATCATAATCACCCTGGATGCTTTTGTTCATATAATCATGCCTCACAGCCTTCCTCAGCTTATCAAAAGGCTTGTAGAGTGAGTGTGTGTTGAGGGAGTCGAGAAAGATGCATGCTTTAGAGACATATATTTTGGGAAAAAGTTGCATAAGTGATTCTATTCTAATAAGGCTCACCCACCCCACTGAGAATAATGTGCTACTATCCCATGACAAACATTTTTCAAAATCATCCCTACAAGCCACGTAGCTCTAATAATTTTCTCAGTCAATTTTTATTTCACCAATAATGAATATACTGAATGATCATTTTCAAAACTGAATGAGATCAAATTAAAACTTACTGTATTTTCAAAAATTAGACTAATTTGGAGAAATAAGCATGAAACCTACTTGTCTGAGCAAGATTAATCTTTAAAACTACTCTGTAACATCAGAACCTTTTTAATTCAAAAGAATCTACAGAACATAGCCAAAGTCGAGATTCTTGCTCATGATTTAGTGTCTTGGCTGAATAAAAATATTCAGTGATTACTCAATAGGTGCCAAAGCTCAGGACTCTAGAGAGAGATGAGGCTGTTTTTGCCGAAACACAATTTCATCTCAACTACTATTATATGTAAGAGAAGAAAGTTATATTATTATGATTGTGAACTTGCTATTTTAATTAAAGTAAAAATACTGTTAATTAGAAAAGAAGCTGGTACATCAGAAGCAAAATGAAAATTATGAGCTAATTACGTTTTTAAGACTGAAAAATAAAATTGGGGATGAGGGTTGTCAATATTTTGAAATAGCATGTTCCAAACAAATGGTCTTCTGGAAAATAAACACTCATATTCCAAGGAGACATTGGTTATGTTCTTTGGACAGCTCCAGTGGGGAGTCAGGAAGCTCTATATCCTGTTTTGGTTTAGTTCCTTTTAAATATGCTTGAAAAGTTCATATTAGAGTATTTTTAAAGTGCATCTCCACCAATCGTGGACTATGTGGTACTCCCAGAAATCGATGAAGTTTTCATCATCATGTTTGCCTAAGTATAAATTATGGCTATGTTTCCAAAACTTCACCTTTCTCATTTTTTCTGATGTGACTTTCTTATACATTGATTGATTTAGGGTCTTGGAGATATAAACTGATTTGATGCATTTCCCCCCTTTGGGGGATAGGAAGAAGTGAATTTTTATACAGAAATAGTGCGGGGGAGGGGGAATGTATAATGGGGAAAATCAGACAAAATCCAACTAAAGTTAAATGCACATACACGCTGGTGCCAGTAGGGGACAGGCTGTTCCTCCTTCTAAGAGTAGCTTCCAAAGTAGTACTCAGTTTTAGGTTTATAGCTCATAAAGAAATACTTTTTTCCCTAGAAACACCCAATAAAAAGTACCTCTCCTTTTTATTATGTTCAATAATGTCTTAACAATAGAAATGTTATCAAGTAAAGATAAGTACTTTTTTGGGGATTTCTTATTTGCTAATTGGCCTTCCTTTCTTCTATCCACTCTGTTAAAAGCTGAAAATTCATATTTAGGTCCTTGAAATCAATATATTGTTGGCTTCAGCTCCTTAACCTGGTCACTAAAAAGGACAATCAAGTGACTGAAATTATGTGTGGCTAGAATGCTTTTAGCATAACGGGGTCTGTCACTCAGCCCTTGGCAACCTAGTTGTACTCACCATTGTACTGTGGTTCTAAGATTAGGCTGGCTGACTGTGCTGTCATCTAGAAATATAGTTGAGCATGAGCTATATTTTTTAGTAAGGTGCCCTGGAGATACCTGAAGGGGAAGGGAAATAGAAGAAAATGTCACAGTAAGTTAAACCTATAAAAGTGTGTTTTTTCCTTGGTTAAAATGTCAAACAATTAAGCATTAAGATTCTTCTTATATCCATGAACTGCTTACAGGGAATCCCCCTCATTAAAAAGCAAACTTCTCTAGGGAAGGAGGACTCGTCTCTTCTCCTACCTCCAGATGCTGAGCACAGAATCTGAGACAAATTAGAAAGAAGTTCAACTATTGTTTGAAAAAGTATTTAAAATTAATTATAACTGGAAGGTAAATCTTAACTACAAATACAAATTAGAATTTATCTGCAGTTGTGTTGGAGAGGTGACAGTGAACTTTTTGAGGCCCTCTAGAGAATAAACTATCTTCAAAACACTTTAGAAGTATCCATTTATTTTGGAATTATCCAGTGATTTGTAAAAAGCCCAATAATAGAGCAATAATTCAAATACTGAAATAGCCTATACTATGTTAGACTATTCTCTTCCTTAAAGCCAATAACTAATCCCAGGCATTATTAAGTTGTTGAAAGTAAAAGTAGCATTCCTACTATTACAGAACAGCGACAATTATAATTCTCTTGGTTTTATTGTATTTTAAAGAACGAATTCAGATGAGCCTTCCTTCTTTGTATCAATATAAAATAGTTTTATCATGCTGCCCTATTTGCTGAGATGGAAGACGCTGACGACACCTTGCTATACTAGCAGTCAGCAGCTGTGTATCGCTGCAGGTTGTCCAGGACCGAACCAGAGTAGGTCGGACCTTCATTACCCCATTTGTCCACCACCCAGAACTGAAATATCATGGCTGACATGTACACATAAGGAACTGTTTGACATTGAAATTGGGTCTCAAAAGAACTGCTGGCCCAGAAAGAAACTCACTACAGATTGATTCATTTGCCTCTCAGCACAACCATTATTGCTTGTCTCATTTTCGGTTCATATAAGTGTATTTCTAGTATCACATGAGCTCACTCATCTAGGAAAAATAATGAACAACATAGGTTGATGGACAAAAACAGACCCGGAGACAGGGAAGTATCGATCAGACTGTCGGACCTCAGAGGGAAGGTAGGGGAGTGTGGGGAATAAGGGGGAGAGATCAACCAAAGAACTTGTGTGCATGCATATGAGCCTAACAGACAACAGGGGGGTGGGGCATGTGTGGGGAGGGATTTAGGATGGGAATGGGGGGATGAGGTCAAATATGTAATAGCCTAATCAGTAAAGAAAATTTTTTAAAAAGTAAAAAAAACATATTCTGAATATCATTATATTGAGTTAAAACTTTAACTTTAAACTTAGAATCTATATTTTTTAAATGTTTTTTAGTAATTTTTCTTTTTTTTTTTTTTTTTAGCAAGAAAGGAAATGAGAGGGATAGAGGTAGAAACATTGATGGATAAACATCGATCGGCTGTCTCCTGCACACTCCTTACTGGGGATCAAACCCACAATCCAGGCATGTGCCCTGACAATGAATAGAACTGGTAACATTCTGGTTCATGGATTGACACTCAATCACTGATTTACACCGGCCAGGCTACAACTTATATTTAAAGTGTAAATCTAAGCTCAACATGATAGACTGACAACAAATCTATTTCCTCTCCCCCTTCCTTTCAAAGATTCTCATTAGAATTAAAGGCATAAAAAAAGGTTATACACAATATAGGTCAAAAAACCTGTAATTTTTAATGTTTTAAAGCTGAAGACTAGATAAAGGAGTGATAACTGACATGACAGAACAGAAGCACAAACTTGGTGCTTATAGAGAGTGGCTGGGACAGGAATAAGAGAGCCGGTGTATCTGACAGAACCAAAGGCCCATTCCAAATTCAGAGGCTTGATCCCAAAATCCTGCAATAAGGACTATCAGTTAACAGAAGTCCTGCTCACTCCTGGAGCTTCCAATTACATCTTAAAATACAGCCAGGGGCCACCACACATCTGAAGAAAGCCAACAAGCAAGAGAGATCAAAACAGGAAGAAGGAAATTAATGGAAGTGACAAAATAAAGGAGCAAATGAAAACTTAAAAAAAAAAATTCTTAACCTCAGAAAGACAAAATATTGCATTGGTGGAAAAACTGATGCTATAAACAAAAATGACAGAATAGAACTCAATAAATTAAAAAAGACAAAACAAAGAATTCAATAGAAAGGTTGGAGTATAAAGTCAAACAAATCTCTAGGAAGTAGAACAAGAAGAAATGGAAAATAGGAGGGAAAGTTAGAAATTCATGCAGGAATACTGGATGAACTTCTGAGTTGGAACTCTTAGACCAGTATTTTCAGTTCCAAATACTAGAAAAATACAGAAAATATATATTTTTTAAATTCACTGCTATAAGTGAAGATCTGCAGGTTTAATGGACTTTTTAAAAAAAAAAAATAAAAAGGTATATACCAAACCACTATGAAGTTTCAAAATTCCAGAAACAGAGAAGGTACTAAAAGCTTCCAAAAGGCTCTGACCAGTTTGGCTCAGTGAAAAAGAGTGTCGGCCTGTGGACTGAAAGGTCCCAGGTTCGATTCCGGTCAAGGGCATGTACCTTGGTGTGGGCACGTCCCCAGTACGGGGTGTGCAGGAGGCAGTTGATGGATGTTTCTCTCTCTTCGATGTTTCTAACTCTCTATCCCTCTCTCTTCCTCTCTGTAAAAAATCAATAAAATATATATTTTAAAAAATAAAAGCTTCCAAAAGGATGGGGGGAGATGATTAAAATTATAAAAGCAATGTATCACATAATGTCAACAGATTTAAGAGCAACTCCACAAATAACAGTAGAAATGGTCTGGCACTGCGAAAATTAGTTGCAACCTAGACTTCTATACTTCAACTAGGAGGCATGTCAGAAAGGCCAGATCTCTAAAAACTTCTGCCCATGTACTCTTTCCACGGAAATGTGCTCCAGAAAACAAGGGAGTATAACAAGACAGAGGGAAACACAGATCTAGGACATAGGGATCCAACACAAGACTGCAGTTATGTGAGATCTCAGATGACTTCAAGGAGATATGCCAGGAAGACAAGCACAGAGCGGGTCTAGGGAAAACCAGTTTATACCAGAGTGGGATGATAAAAGCTAAAGAAGGTTGTTTCCAAGAAAAAGTAAAACAGATGGAAAATATTTTTGATAGGTGACAAATGTCACAACATTTGGAGGAAAAATCGTTGTTAGAAAACAGGCAAGAGAATAAAGTCAGGAAACTAATTCCACACACACAGAAATGAGTAAGTATTAAGATAATGTAGCATAAATGTAGTATATCTGTCTGATGGTCATCTTTGTCAAACTGCTACAAAAAATGTGTGTATGGGGGGGGGGTAATATTTTGTTTTGTTTTTTTCTTTTTTTGCAGCAGGAAATCCAGCCTACTTACTGCATTTGGCTATGTGAAATCTTGGCTAGGAAGAGAGGGGTTAGATTATCCTGGATAAGTACAAAAGTGCTTAGATTTCAACAATACTTGAAAAAAAGAATGAAGGGTATCAAAGTAAGTGGCACAGCCAGAGAACTATAAAGCTCAATAGTAAAAAATAAATAAATATTTGTATAGTCATAATAATGTAAACACTGATTCTTTGGTTTAATAAAAATAGTGTAACATGCTGAGAGAACAGAGAGGGAAATAGGATCATGGTGGAGAAAGCTATGGCAGGAAATCAATAAATAGTGCTAAAAATTAACTTAGCTATTACACTTTTGTTACTTTTAAAAAAAAAAAGATTTAAAAATTAAGGCCAAAAAATTTAAACCACAACCATGTTATTGAAACTTAAGTTAAATACCAGAACCCTTTAAAAATGAGTGTTACTAAGCTAAAGACTTCCTGGCTACATATTTGATAATTATGAAAACAAAAGAGACTTATAAATCTACAAAGAGATGTCCATACTAACAGTACTGGGTCCATTATATTTTCTAGAAATCATCACAATTTTTATTCCAAACTGTTAGTTTCTTACTTAACTTTTCAACTGTTTACTTACATGGTTTACATAGTTGTTCTTCTTCTTTTCTCGCACTAAGAATTAAAAAAAATTAACTGATCAATTCTGATATAAATACCAAAGAAAAATAAAAGTTGCTGATTATGTGACAGATTACCAATATACAAAATGAGACAAAATTCGATTCCATTTTAAAAATAACTTTTAACAAAAATAATAATTTAAATCACCTGGCAAGATGAGCTCCACAAAGTAAATTTAAAAACTTGGTTTTACTTTTTGACCTAACAGATACTCTATATTAGGTACAAATGAGAGACTTACCATGTACCGAAGAATAGGCAAAGCAAATCAGGCCAGGCGAGAAAGTTAGCTAATAAATTTTACTTGTTACATGTCTGAACAACTGCCCAGTAGAAGTTCTAATTCTACACTTATTCCCACCTTACTTGAATCACCAGGATCTAACAGTGGCAGCTCTAAGAACCAGTTCTGGCCAGGCACCAATCCCTATTTGCACCAACACTCCCAGAGAATCCTGGACCAGTTATTGATAATCAACTAAAATACCTTACTAAAAAAATAAATGTCATGACTCAATTGGGAAGTAACCTATTTAAATTTAAATTTAAATTTGAAAATGTGTACTAACCTAACTAAACATATCTACAACACCCACAATCTCCGTATTTGCTCTAACCAAGGCCAGGAGAACAAGAGCTCCAGAGAGGGTGTTGTTTCCCACACCCTTCTTTACTGCAGAGTGGGTATCACAGACACACATTTCTTAGGGCTGAAGAGAGGGGCATGAGATCGTTTTTCCTTCACTATTGCCACTTTCTCTCATGTGAGCAACCCATGGCTCTGGAAGAAATTGAGAAATACAGCAATTCTAACCAAAAATCATTGGCCCAAGGCAGGCAAAGTACACACACACCATGAAAAGGCAGGTGAGAAACCCCCATATTTTATTGTGCTGTATCACTTCAAACAAAATAGAAACCTCACTTATTGTATTTCTCCTGTGGGAGTCAACTAATAAACTGGTCTTGAGTGGCTTTTTAAGCAAGTAAACTAGATTTAACATAACATAAAAGGAATATAATCAAGCAAGAAGGAGTGTTAAAATCCTACAGTTCTGATCATCCAAAAATTAGTAGGATACCCTTGCTGATGAGGCTAACCTTCTGGGCAACCCTAGAGGGCTATGTTTGCCCTGCTGTACCTTGGCACAATATTACATTATGATGAGAAAATTCTGAATAACTTAAAAGTTCTTAGTTGCATGAATCTGGATGTGAGATAGCATCACTTGGTTGAGCCCTATATAAAGCAGGGCAAAAATCACAAATTCAATCTTCATATATAAGCTGATTTTTTTCATTTTTCAAAATGAAAACCTAACTGGGACCTAAATCCTATCACTCATCTTTAAAATGCATGCCTTTTGGAGCAAGGGGAAAGAACATAGCTGTTGGGAGAAACAGACCACATCTAAATCATGTGGCCAATTGGCTGTGTTGATAAAGAGGTGGCAAATGTGTAAACAGCCTACCAGTTCTCCTCACTGAACTTTCTCTAATATGCAAACAAAAACAGTTTCAAACTTCTCAGAGGAAAAAAATATTCTTACCATCCGTTTGAGATTTATTCAAGAAAATTGTGCTTGCCCTTGGATGGTCAGAAGGGTTTGATTCCAAAGCTAACTCTGTATAAAAAGAAGAGAAAAAGACATGATAATTGAGTAGAAAAACATACGATTTTAAAAAGAGCTATACATCAGTATTAATCACTTTTAAGTGTTAGTGATGATAAGCCAATTTTAGTAAAGGCAACAATATGAAAATTCTACTGAAAAAAATGCAAAATTATAGAATCTCCTTATACATTGGAATAAAACCAGGCTATGTCTTAGACTTTTTTAAAAACTTGCACCTAAATAATTTATGCAACTTTTACGTGAATCATATGTGCTTTCTTCCTACAAATATGTGCTTTCTTCCTACATATATGTGCTTTCTTCCATTAAAAATATATAGTCCTCTCATTTATGCTGATATTGCTAGCACATTCCAAGAACAGTCAGTCTCAAGAAGCAAATCACGCTGTGGCTAGTTACTGACAGATACCAACTAATATGTTAAATATGCTAAAACCAAGTGAGTTGTTTTGGGCACATATTTGTTAGACATTTACACTAATTCTAACTCTATTCAACCAAGGAACTTATTTAGTTAGCTGTGGTTTATTTGCGGCTATTCATTATGGCAGATTTAAAAGGAAAGCATAAAAGTTCAATGTTCTAATTAATAGGAACACTTTCATGATATTGATTTTTAATACTTTTATAAAATGATTTTTAAACATTTTGCCCTCAATTTCCAAAGCTAAAAAGTTTTACTTCTTCCTTCTATGCCACATAATTACTTGGGGCTTCAATACGAATGCTTTCTGGAGCTGGTCATTGGGTGCTTGTAAAAAAAAACTGTGCTGTTCCTATGTAAGTGTAGGTCTGCCTGCAGTCCACCTTGCACCAAGGTGGGGTAATCTATTTCAGCAAGAATATAAAAAAGGTCCTTACATTTCCATTAAACAAAGTTTGCCACCATACAAAATAATAAAGTTATCATTAAAACAAACAAAGAATAAATCCCTACGGTACTCAATAATGTCCAACCACTTAACCAATCTTATAAGAAAGTGGACCAACATCCTGGTAAGAGGAATGGATAAGGCACTATTTCCCTAACCACATAATAACAGTTCTACTTTTTAAAAGGATGTTTGGTGGTCAAATCTAAATACACTATAACCCTGTTACTTAGGGAATCAAAATGCACATTGCTATGTTAAAAACTAATCAGTCCAATAATGAATAATGTCTAACAGCATTTCACAAATTTACTTAGTAACTAGAACCCCTTTACCCTCCAAGGAATACAGTTATAATCTTGCACAAACATAATTTGGGACTTCCTGGTTTAACAGGAATCTGAACCATCCATTTTATTAGTACTGCCAAACTGGAAATTTATAGAGCTAAAACCAACTGCTTTGTTTTTTAAGGAAATTCCTTCAAGTTTATTAAACTGCTTCTGGAACTTCTATTCAACATTTTTCTGTAAAAGGCCAATAAAGTTATTTTAAAGGCTTTTTTCCACATATTTAAAAAATGAGACAATGCTAGCTACTTGGAAAATAAATTATTCAGTTGACAAAGTGACAGGCAGAGATTCCCACAGCTGCCTCTAACCTCAGGCTTCTGAAAGGATTCAAGACTAATTCCTACCAAAAATAAAGCAAATATTTTGCATCTCAATCTAAAAAATAAGCAGAAATGTTTGCGGAAGTAGCCACATAATGTATCAGTGCCTACTGCATGACTGATTGCCCTAATCAGTGTGGCTGGGTGGATAGAGCATGGGCCCTTGCTGGTTGGGCACTTGCCCCGGTTGCAGGTAGGTCCCTAATGTGGGATGTGCAGAAGGCAGGCGATCTATGATTCTTTCTCATCATGGATGTTTCTATCTCTCCCTCTCCCTTCCTCTCTGAAATCAGTAAGAATATATTTTAAAAAATAATTTAGTGATTGATTGATTTTAGAGCAAGAGAAGGGGGAGAGGGAAAGAAAAAGGGAGAGAGAAAGAGGAGAAGCGAGGGGGAGAAGGGGAAAGAAGAAAAGAGAGAGAGAGAGAGAGAGAGAGAGAGAGAGAGAGAGAGAGAGAGAGAGAGAAGTCAGTGACCTCAATTTGTTGTTCCACTTATTTATGCATTCTTTGTTTAATTTTTGTATGTGCCCTGACTAGGGATTCAACACTGGCATATATTGGCATATATTGGAATGATACTGAGCTACCTGGCCAAGGCCTAAAATTTTTAATGGGAAGTCCAGGAAAAGTACTATAATCAAAGAAGGAGGAGGCTTAAACACACACACACACACACACTCACGCATGATGTTTTTCCTATACATACATACCTATGATCATCAAATTTACAAATTAGCCATAGTAAGAGAGCAACAATAATAAAATCAGACAATTATAATAAGGTGACTTGAACACAGCACAGTGACACGGCCACAGTCAATCTGACAACTTAGATCTTCAAAATAAGATGACTAGACCAAAAGATTAGATCAGTTTCATGGCTCAATATATAACATTAAGCTGCTTTCTAAAAAGGGTGGCGGCATATTGGAGTATAATGCCACCAATCATATCAGTTTTAGTCCCACTCCAGCATTGGATACGTGAAAAAAAAAAAAAAATTCTAGTGACGTGAATGAGGAACCTCAGGCTCTCTCTAATCTGCATTTCTTTGATTACAGTTTGGCCACAGTTAACAGAGCTATTTCTACTTTGGTGAGTTGCCTATCACTTATATGTACTGGTACTGTATGTATTGTACCCACTAGGGACCTAATGTTGTCAATTCGCATGAGACTTTTCTGAAGTATTTTGTTTATAGCCTAAAACAATGTTTGTATATAACTTGTACTTTTTGCTAATAACAAATACTGCATCACTATTCGACAGAAAGGATAGTTAAGCCTTAGACAGAAACTCATACACACACAGTATTTCTGTATTATCCATTAACTGTTTTCCCTGGAGCCTAAGGAAACTGATAAACAAAACTATACTGTTTTCACTATCACAAAGATAAGACTGAAAACTATTAAGTAAATCATGACTGCCCCTCAGCATGCACACACAAGAAATTACTGTGCCTCTTACACGTGACTCCTTCCCAAATTATTTCTTTAGACACTTCTAGGAATGTTTTCGAAGAAATATTATTGACTCATGATTAGGGGTTGTGATTAAAATTCTAAAAAACTATCACTTTTGTATTATCAATTTAAATCACAACTTAATTTGACAACATAATAGGTTGATGTAGGGAAAGTATGACTTTAAAACATTAAATTAAGGTCTCAATGTAAATATTCCCAAAAGAAAGAAATATATAAAGCCCCACTGACATCGCATACTGCTTTCCCCCTTAACCTAAGATTCTATCAATTTTAAGATCCATTTCAATTGCACAGATGTTAAAAATATGAAGATTTAAGCAACCTTAAAATAAATAAAATGCATTACTAAAGGCTAACAGTACTAAAGTTTTGCAATTGTTAACTGTCAATTAATTGTTTTTCCTTTTCAAAATATGAGGATGGTGACCAAGGAATTACTTGACAGAGGCAGCATATTTCAGAAAGACTGTGATGTCAATATATTCCAATTAAATAGAAATGTCAGCAATGTCTGGGCCTACAGCTGACACCTGTTTACTTAAGGCTTTCTGCATTTATTGAAGTGCTCTATCATCCCTATACTACACATTGCATTTACTATCCATTACATTAGTTTCATGGCCCAAACACAAAATTTGGGGTCTAACAATGATCATAAATATTGGTGATTTTAACTGAATCCACACTTCTCACCTCAGTCGGTTAAGGGCCACTCAATGGCTTGAACTGGCCTGACGCACAAAAGGGCATATAGCACACTCCTGGGCCCCCCAGACTACCCCTCTTTGAATCTTGCTTCTGATTTTCTAGTCTCTGACAACCCTAACTCTGGCTTCCAAACAACTTTAGCTGCCTCTATCTTGGTTCTCAGTCTTACTTTGTTATAATCGTCAATCCATGTTTTAGTGACCAAGATGTGACACTTCATATAGAGAAGTGCTTTTTCTTTCTTTCTTTCTTTTTTTTTTTTTTTGTATGTCTAAAAAGCACTTCGCTTAGTGTCGCAGGCTTTATTTATGAGTTGCAATTTACCTCAATTTTATTCCACATTATGCAATGTTACTATTGTAACCCTACAGTTTAATTACTTTAATAAAATTTAATAAGGGAGTGAGAAAAAAGGTGGTATCCCCAAAGCTGTTCACATGATGTGCCGATACATAAATTCTATTCCTATGTGCCATGAATCTAGAATTAACATTCCTGCTCTAGCCAGCATCATTTTTCAAAATTTGGACAACTCAAATTTATACAATTCAAAACCTGTCTTCTCAAATGAAAAACGAATATAATTCCTATACTAAACCATTGTGAGAATCAAATGAAATGTAAGCACAATCTATATAATCCTATCATATACAACAAAAGGTTAATATGTAAATAGACCAAACGGCAGAACAACCAAACAACCGGTTGCTATGACGTGTGCTGATCACCAGAGGGTGCACATGGAACATGGCAGGTGTCAGCAACAGGCGGCAGAGAGTGGCACATAGCGGGCGTTGGCCACAGCAGGATGGTGGAGCAGGTGAGCGGGGGCGCCACACCAAGACAGGGTGCCCATCTCTGTCATCAGGGTGAGCCTCTGCTACAGCCATCCCCATGTCCTTATGTCCTTGTGCCTGCACAAGGGCGTATTGCCATGGAGGAACTCGGCATGGAAACCTCACCTCCATCCTCACATGGCCCCTCTCAATGTCACTTAAGGAGAGCCGCTGTCTTTAGCCATCCTGACTTTGTTCATGTATTGTCTGCCCCGCGGCTCCTCTGGACTGTAAGGACCTAAGTAGGGGATTGTCTTGTATAATATTGTTTGTCCTATATCAGGAATGGTGCCCAATAGACATCTAACCACTTCAGTGCACCTAAAACCAATCAAGTATCTCCCAATTTTCCTATATCTTCTATAGTTTCATCAAATGCTATCTTTTGGTTTATCATCTAAGATCAGCATTACTTTCATATCTTAGAGTAGTCGTTATTCAGAATTAAAGACATAAGAACCACAAAAACCTAACAGGGGTTTAATGTCCAGTGAAAATCAATGGTTACTTTAATTTGGGGTAAGAACATTTAATGTTAAAATGCCTTAACTACAAAATGACATCCTAATCCTATATAATAAAAGGGTAATATGCAAACTGTCCCCTTGACTGGGAGATTCACCAGAGTTCGACCAGCCTGCCAACCACCCACCTGCGCGCGCGCGCGCGCGCGCACACACACACACACACACACACACACACCCCTGCAGGGTGGGCCAGCCTGACCCCACCCGTGCACAAATTCATGCACCAGGCCTCTAGTTAAATTATAATAAAGAATACTAGCTGAATTCTACTCTTTTATTAGATAGGATGCAGATAAGCTGCATTCTAAAGAGGTTTTTAAGCACCACAAGAACTGAACTTGGTGTATCTCTCACCTCCATGTCAGCCTTTCTGTCCAGTAGTTGTGTTACACAGTCATTTCAGATCTCTTCTTTGAAACATATTTTTATTGATTTCAGAGAAGAAGGGAGAGGGACAGAGAGCCTCCTGCATCAAGCCCACAACCTGGGCTTGTGCCCTGACTGGGAATCGAACCTTGACCTCTTGGTTCACAGGTCAATGCTCAAACACGGAGCCACCACAGCAAGGCTCTTTTCAGATCTCTTAAGTCTTGCTTTCCTCACTGGTAATATAGGGAGAACATATGCATGGGTCTTATTTGCAGTTAGAAGGGACAAATGAGATATACATGAAATTGTATTATACAACTTAAAAGAATACATAAAAGTCCTATTTTGGCCTCTCACCCAACACTACCCCTCTACCAACTGGTTCGTAAAATCACTCAGAGGCTTACCTTACAGCAGCTAAGAGCAGAAGTTTTCACAAGTGTTTAAAGGTACAATTCATTCACATAATTTGTGGGGGGTTTTCCCCCCACAACATTTGAATATTCTGAAAAGGAAGTACTTCCCAGTTACAAAGCCAAATCCACTATTTGAGTAAACCCACGGGCTTACTAGCCTAACTTTTCAAGAAATTAAAAGCTCAACGGAAGTTTAAATAGAGTCAGATCTATAAAACATCTTTTTCTATGAAATGAAATAACCTCTGGCATTTAAATGAAACAAACGGGCCTTTAACATCTCCTTACCTCATTGTTTCCTACTTCAAAGAGCAGTCTCTAGGAGCCCTGTTGCCGCCCAGAATTATTTTAAAACAGACGTTTCCTCTCTTCGCCCTCCACCCTACCCAGCTGTTTGATCTTTACAACTTTTCCTTAATATTCTTAAAGGTGAACGGGATCCTGTGGGCAGGAGGGGAGGGGAAGGGGAGAGAACCATGGAGACAGCTTTCCTGGCGCAGGACCTGGCATCCCAACTCCCAAACCTTTCCTTATGTCACCAGTTAAAGTCTCAATTTAAGTTTGCTTTTTCTCTCTTGAGACGCTGACCTGTAACAGTCTCCTGAACCATCTCTCCCCTCTCCCTCAGGGCAGGCCATGTGAAAGGGAAGCCTGGACAGTCCCTGGAGGGAGACAAGGCACATTTGTACCCAAGTGGGAATTTAAAGTGATCAGACGCCCTGGGTTCTCTTTATTTTATTTTATTTTATTTTATTTTATTTTATTTTATTTTATTGGGGGGGGGGGGGACATATTCTCTACAGCACTGGCAGTTAACGTTTCACATCCTTCAGTTCTTTTTTTAAGTTCCCTCTCCCACATTTTCTCGCCTTCTGTGTATCCAAAGTATAGCTGGAAGAAATAAAGCAGCTTCTATTTGCTGAAAACTGCGTGCCTGACGCACACTGACCCTCCTGTGCCAGTCTCCGTTCTGAACCTCAGCCACCAGCCCTACAAGGTTGGCGCCTGAATTGCCCCGAGGCTCCAGGAGCTCCGAGCGCGGGAGGCCAGGGGCCGCCGGCCCGGCGGGTACCGACCGGGGAGATAGGACGGGCACCCTCACGCTGCGGCATCACCGTGCTCACTGAGCAAAGAGAGAGAGAAAATACACCCAGAACGTCCTTACAAAGTCCCACCGGGCACCGGGCACGGCCGTCAGCCGGCGGGACGGAGCACCGGCGGGTCCCAGGCGCCCTGGGCCGGGCATGGGAACCCGGGGAAGGACCGGGCGCGGGCCGTCCGGAGGGCGATCGGCCCGGCAGGACCGGGAGGGCATGAGGGTGGGGGCGCCGGACGCGGCCGGTCTCCCGCCCCGGTGCCCGCCGCCCCGGTGCCCGCCGCCCCGGTGCCCGCCGCCCCGGTGCCGGCCTCCCGCCCCGGTGCCCGCCGCCCCGGTGCCCGCCGCCCCGGTGCCGGCCTCCCGCCCCGGTGCCCGCCGCCCCGGTGCCCGCCGCCCCGGTGCCCGCCGCCCCGGGGACGCCGGGCTCCGCGCAGGAAGGGGCCCGGGGCGGCGGCTCCCTCCCGGGGCCCCGGCGAGCCCCGCCGCCTTACCGTCCGGCATCTCCCGGTCGCTGATGTGCTGCAGGTGGTGGCCCTCGCCCGTGCCCACGTCCCGCTCGGCGGGCTCCAGGGCGGCCGGCGAGGGCGCCACCGCCACCGCGTCCCCCGCCGCCGCCGCCGCCGCGTACACCTCAGACTCGTAGTCGGGCTCGGCCGGCCCGGAGCGCCGGCCCGGGTGGGGGCTGGCTTCGGGCTTCCCGCAACAGGTCAGCGCGTTCCCCATGGGGGTCCGCCTCCGCGCCGCCGCCTCCGCGGGGCCCCCTCCCCCAACAATGGCGCGGCCGGCGCCGCCCGCAGCCCCGGGCGCCGCGCAGGCAGGCAGGCAGGCGGGCTCGGCCGCGCCCGCTCCGTCCGCCGGCCGCCGCCGCCGCCGCCGCCGCCGCCGCCGCCGGGCCGCCGGGCCCCGGGCAGGGCTCCGGGCCCGGCCGCACCCCCCGCCGCCGCGCCGCTCGCGCCTCCCCCGAGCAGCCGAGTGTGTGCGCGCCGCGCCCGGCCGGCTTATTTAAAAGGGGTGGGGACCGGCCGGCGTCGCCCTCGACAACCACTGCGAGCGGAGAGCGCGGCCCAGGCTCCTCCTCCGCCCGCAACCGCCTCTCCACCGACAGCCGTTGTCCGAGCCGGCGCCGGCCAACCGGAACGCGCCCTGCGGCCACGTGGTTGCGAGGGGCCAATCGCGCTCGGAGTCCTCTCCGCGCGGCCCGCCTCCCGGAGGGGGCGTGGCTCCGGAGGCCCGGCCCCGCCCCTTTCCCGGCGGCCCCGCCCTCCAGCCGGCGCGCGCTCCGCGGACCTGGGTTTCCAGGCACCGCGCGCCGCCCGGAGCGCCCGCGTGGGTCCTGCGGGGGGCGGAGGGCGGCCCTCCGTCCGCTGGGCTCCGCGAAGCCCCGGCAGCGAGAGGCCAGGCGGTTAGCGGGTTCCGGGGTCTGACGGCTGACTGATGGGATGTAGTTGCTCGGGAGTGCGCTTCGTTTACCCTAGCTCGTAGACCGTCGTTGAAACTGCATGCTGCTCCGCTCTGCCTCCCAAACGTGTTAGCGGTCGCGGGCGGCTCGCCGTGGCCGCCCCCGGGGGCCGTGGTCCAGCTCTCAGACCGGCTGTGACTGTGCCGGGATGGACCGGAGGACACGGCACCCTGCCGCCTCCCCATCGGCCAGGTGGGGACCCAGCGAGCCCCTCCCCGGACGCTTTTCCACCGCAGATTCATTCTCTCTCTCTCTCTCTCTCTCTCTCTCTCTCTCTCTCTCTCTCTCTCTCTCTTCTCTCTCTCTCTCTCTCTCTCACATTTTCAATTTATCTTTTTTTCTTTGACAAAATCTGCAAACTCAGAACACCAATCCATCAGCCAACTTGTCATTCGGAAAATTCGGAAAAGAAACTTTTTCTTTTTTTTTTTTTTTTTACATTTATCCATTCTTGCACAAGTCAATTTTAATACAGAAAGGAATGACTATCTTTGAACACATCCTCTGAACGTGATTGTAAACGCAGGAAGCTGATGTCAGGGAGGCCCCCACTCAACCTGACAATTGGTCGTTTCACAAGACGTGGGTTTCAGTTTCCGGAACGCTCCCGGGCTCACTGGACTCAGTTACTGGTGTGAAGGCTGCATAATGATTGGCAGTGAGCGGCGACAAGGATAGTTAGCCTCTCTCAGTTCCTACGGCACATTTGCTCCCAACCCTCACAATTATACCAAGTTCTGCTGCTGGTTTTATCCTCCAATTAATCCAGAACTAACCAGGGACACCCAGACTAGATGGTGTTACCCAGGCACCAGAAGCTTCCTTTCGGGCACACACTGTAAGCTTCAAACTGCTTCTTCCATATTATTTACAAAGGATAAGATTTCCATACATTTTCTCTCTTGCTAGAAAACGTTGCCTTCCATCTACTTTTAAAAATATTTATTTTAGCCAAAACCGGTTTGGTTCAGTGGATAGAGCGTCAGTCTGCGGACCGAAAGGTCCCAGGTTCGATTCCGGTCAAGGGCATGTACCTTGGTTGCGGCCACATCCCCGGTAAAGGGTGTGCAAGAGGCAGCTGGTCGATGTTTCTCTCTCATCGATGTTTCTAGCTCTCTATCCCTCTCCCTTCCTCTCTGTAAAAATCAATAAAACATATTTTTTAAAAATATATATTTATTTTATATTGATTTTTATTATTAACACTATTACAGGTGTCCCCATTCCCCTCCCCCATTTCCCCTGCCTCCACTCAGTTCCTGCCCCCGCCCCTTCCCTGCTTTACTGAAGTTAGAACCATTTTTCTCACAATCATTTACCTTATCCTCCTCTTTCTCCTAGGAGCCTTTTTGACAGCAGCCTCCTCAGATCAAGCTGATGTTAGGAACGCTGTAGGAGTTTCATTACGCTTGACAGCAGGGAGAAGCTTGAAGAAGTCTTTTCAACCAAGTCTGTCCCCTAGAAACAATGCTCAGAGGCTTCTGCACCATCTTTTCCTCAGGATGACCCTATTGCCCTACGGCGCAGATCGCCGCTGGGGCTGGAGCTCACAGCTGGCAATCCGGCGTGTGCCCTCGACCAGAAATTCAACTGCGACCCCCTGGGTCATATAGGCAGACGCGCAGCCACTGAGTCATGCTGGCTGGGTGAGACAAATCTGTTTTTATCCTCACAGCGTAGCATCCGCCCTGAAGCACCTCTAGAATTTTTCTATCTGCAGCAAACTGGATGGATGTTAAGAAGCCAGGAAACCCTATTTGAAGAGTCATATTACATTTGACACCTGAAACTAATATGGAATATTGAGTATAAACTGTAATTGAAAATTTTAAAAAGTCGTATTTGACCAGGAAGCACACTTTTAAAAACAAACCAAAAACTTTGTTTGCATTGCCGTGGGGGCAGTGGGGGCAGGGGTGAAGGGGAGGGGGGATCTAAGGCCTTGGCTCCTCTGCTGAGCAGGCCAGGCCGGGAGGGTGCTCATTCCATGAGCCTAGGTTGACTAATCCTCCACACCCCATGAGCTGTTCCTTCTCAGTCGTACTTACCACACAGATAGAATACTTCTCAAAAAAAAAAAAAATTGGTTATGCAAGCAGCACTCTGCCCAGGAAAAGCAGAGGAAAACTGAGACCACAGTGTCCAAATCCAACCTGCCCTGTTTTTCACAGCCGTAGCATTAGTGCCTCCCCACGTTGGCCAACTAGTATACCTCTCCTGGTCCTTTTTCTAAAATTTATTTTATTGTTGAAAATATTACAGACGTCCCCTTTGTATTTTTTTCCCCATTGACTCCCTTTAACCCACACCCACCCCTCCCAGGCCTCCACCGCACTATTGTCTGTGTCTGTGGCTTATTCTACCTGTTCTTTGAAGCTTATCTCAAGCAGAGCCTTCTCTGCAATGCTTCTCTGATTCCCTCAAGACTGGAAGATTCTGCATCTTCCATGCCATTAGTTCTCTGCCAACCCTTACTGCAGAGCAGTCCTGAATCGCGTGGCAGGGAAACTGCTTACATGTTTGACACTCCCATCTAACTAGACACTCCCCAAGAACAGACCTGTTTCATTCTTTTTCTGAATCCCCGGCACTACGTATAATCTCTGCCTTGTAGCTGTCTCAATACACTTTCCTTGAATGAATGAATAAATAAAAAGTGGAATTGAGAATACCAACCATCAGAATTGGGGAACTGTTATAACTATTCCTTATTTTTTAGCGTTCTTTATCCTTGTTTGCGCCTCTGATTTTTGTATCTGGGCCTCCATAACATTTTTTATTTTTTATTTTATTTTTTTTAAATATATTTTATTGATTTTTTTTTTACAGAGAGGAAGAGAGAGGGATAGAGAGCTAGAAACATCAATGAGAGAGAATCAGCTATTAGCCACCTCCTGCACACCCCCCACTGGGGATGTGCCTGCAACCAAGGCACATGCCCTTGACCAGAAACGAACCCGGGACCTTTCAGTCTGCAGGCCGACGCTCTATTCACTGAGCCAAACCAGTTTCGGCAAAAGGACAGCCATTTTATAACGCTCACAATTTTGTGGATCAGGGAAATCAGGCAGGCACATTGGGGACCGTTTATCCCTGCTCCAGGATGCTCAGGGCCTCAGCAGGAGTGTATCTAGCAGCTGGCTTGGCCCAGATGGCTCAGCTGGAGCCATACCTCTGGAGTGTCGGTTCCAGGTCAACTGGGTTCCTCAATTCTCCACATCATGTCTCCTGCGTCCATAACGGCTTCTTCCCTCCCATTCAGGTGCCTGGCCTGTGAAAGCGGGAACACGTGCCCCCCCAAAATATATACGTAAGTTAACAGCTGATAGCCCTTTTTGAAAATGAAATATATTTTAGTAGACTGCCTTTAAAATCATTCAAAGTGTATGTATACATTTGGGGAGGGGAGACACCCGATATAATCCGAGTGTTTTACTTTTTGTGTGTGTGTAAATGCGTGAATCTAAAAAAGGAAAAGTATGGTGGGCAACATTCCTTCAACAAAAATAAAAAATAAAAACTTTCAAAGCCAGTTTCTTCACTGTTGTAAGCTCACCCGGAACATCACCTTACAATGGAGGATGCTGAACTTGCTCCAAGTCCCATACACCACCTGGCACCCGAGGGATCCCCCTTCCTTTTGGTCTCTGGTTGTTGTAGTAGCCAGAAACAGATTTCTGCCGGCGCTTTCAGAAACAAATGTGCCAAAGGTTAAGTTTATTCCGTGATGCCTCGATGTATGTGTTTGAGAACAACATTTATGTTACATCAAACTGAGAAGAGAGCAGTCATTTTCTAAAACCTATGTGCTAAAAACATTCTAGTTTTCTCTAGTGATTACTTCAACAGAGCAACTTAGAATCTATGGTATCAGCAGATGCATTGTCCTCTGTCAGACAAAACCATTGCATGCAACCTCGCTTTAAATGTTATCTTTGCTCCTTCTAACTCGCAATTTCCATGTGAATGTGCACCGTGAAATGCTTTACACGCAAAAACTAATGCCCACAGAGTCCCACGAAACGGTAATAAGAAAGGCCCGCAGGGAAGCTCTCCACAGGAAACCCAGCTGGCCTCATCACAGGAGGATTTTCCCTTCTCCTGGGAAAAAGATGGAATGAGCACGCTATTTGCTGTTGCCTATTTTTGAAGCAAGGTATGCCAAGGTCAGTGTGCCCTCCCCAAGAAGCGGCGGAGTCTGAATCATCTGCAAAGTCTGCTCAGTGCTCTTTTGGGTAAAAACCATGCTTTGCTGGCACTTTCT